TGGCTCACTGCAAGCTCCGCCTCCTGGGTTCAGGCCATTCTCCTGACTCAGCCTCCCAAGTAGCTGGGACTACAGGCGCCCGCCATCACGCCCAGCTAATTTTTCTATTTTTAGTAGAGACGGGGTTTCACCATGTTAGCCAGGATGGTCTCAATCTCTGGGCCTTGTGATTCGCCCACCTTGGCCTCCCAAAGTGCTAGGATTACAGGTGTGAGCCACCATGCCTGGCCCAGATTATCATTTTTTAAGGGTCATTCTTTTGGTGTCATAGCTATGAAATCTATACCTAATTAGAGATCACAAATATTTTTACCTATATTTTCTTGTAGAAATTGTATACTTTAGATGTTTTTATTTAGGTCTACAATCCACTTTGAGCTAATTTTTATATATGGTGCCAATTATAAATTGAGGCTTTTTGTTTACACTTATATGTCAAATTGTTCCAGCACCATTTGTTAAAAAGACTATCTTTATTGAATTGTATTTGCACATTTTCAAAAATTATATATATATATATATATGGATCTATTTCTAGTGCCTCTATTTTGTCTCATTGATCTATGTGTCTATGTTTTTACCAGTACCATACTCTCTTGATTACTGTGGCTTGATCCTAAGTCTTGAAATCAAGTGGTGTGAATCCTCTAAATGTTTCCTTTTTAAAAACTGTTTTTGTTATTCTAGTTATTTGTGTTTCCATACCAATTTTAGAATTAACCTATCAATTTCTACTGGAAAGGGAAGCCTTCTGTTATTCTGATTGGGACTGCATTGAATCTATGTAAGTTAATTTGTAGAGAATCGACATTTTAACAATACTGGGTCTTCTGATCCACGTTTATCATATTTCTCTTCTTTTACTTAAGTATTTCATTTTCTTCAGTAATGTTCTGTCAATGAAAAGAGTCAAAATCTGGCAAACTATGCATCTGACAAAGGACTAGTATCCAGAATCTACAAGGAATGCAAACAAATCAGCAAGAAAAAAACAATCCCATCAAAAAGTGGGCAAAGGACATGAATAAACATTTCTCAAAAGAAAATACACGAACAGCCAACAAACACGAAAAAATGTTCAACATCACTAATCATCAGAGAAATGCAAATTAAAACCGCAATGAGATACCACCTTACTCCTGTAAGAATGGCCATTATAAAAAAGTAAAAAAACAATAGATGTTGGCCTGGATGTGAGGAAAAGGGAACACTTTTACACTGCTACTGGAAATGTAAACTAGTACAACCACTATGGAAAAGAGTATAGAGATTCCTTAAGGAACTAAAAGTAGAACTACCATTCAGTCCAGCAATCCCACTAATAAATATCTACCCAAAGGAAAATAAGTCATTACATAAAAAACACATATGCACATATAGCAGCACAGTAAGACACGGAACCAACCTTAGTGCCCATCAGCCAACAAGTGGATAAAGAAAATGTGGTATATGTACACCATAAAATACTATTCAGCCATAAAAAGGAACAAGATAATGTTTTCTGCAGCAACTTGTATGGAGCTGGAGGCTATTATTCTAAGTGAAGTAACTCAGGAATGGAAAAGCAAACATTGTATGTTCTCACCTACAAGTGGGAGCTAAGCTATGAGGATGCAAAGGCATAAGAGTGATACAATGGGCTTTGGGGACTCAGAGGGGAAAGTTGGGAGAGGGGTGAGGAATAAAAGACTACATACAGTGTACACTACTCAGGTGATGGGTGCGCTAAAATCTCAGAAATCACAGCTAAAGAATGAATCCATGTAACCAAAAACCACCTATACCCCAAAAACTTGAAATAAAAAAAGAAGTCAAACTCTGTAAAATAGTTGAAGGGATTTATTCTGAGCCAAATATGAGTGACCATGGCCTGTGACACAGCCTTTGGGAGACCCTGAGAACATATGCTCAAGGTGGTTGGGGAGCAGCTTGGTTTCATACATTTTAGGGAGACATGAGACTTCAAATACACTTAAGATACAGATTGAACACTGGTTTGGTCCAGAAAGGCAAGACAACTTGAAGTGGGGCAGGGGTTCCAGGTTATAGGTAGATTTAAATTTTTCTGATTGGCAATTGGTTGAAAGAGTTATTATCAATAGAAAGGAATGTCTGGGTTAAGATAAGACATTGTGGAGACCAAAATTTTATCATGAAGCTGAAGCCTCCAGGAAGCAGCCTTCGAAAAGACTAGATTATAAATGTTTCTTATCACACTTAAGATCTGTGTTAATGTTAAATGCTGGTTGGCTTTTCCTGAATTCCAAAAAGAAAGGGGGGCATAATGAGGCATATCCGACCCCTGCTTCCATCATGGCTTGAACCAGTTTTTCAGGTTAACTTTGGAGTTCTCTGGCCAAGAGGACGGAGTCCATTCAGATGGTTGGGGGTGAAGGTGTTTAGAATCTTATTTTTGGTTCACAGTTTTTTGTTTTTGGAACAAAGTTTCACTCTTGTTACCCAGGCTGGAGTGCAATGGCGTGATCTCAGTTCACTGCAACCTCTGCCTGCTGGGTTCAAGCGATTCTCCTGCCTCAGCCTTCTGAGTAGCTGGGATTACAGGTGCCCACCACCACGCCCAGCTAATTTTTGTATATTTAGTAGAGACGGGGTTTCACCATGTTGATCAGGCTGGTCTTGAACTTCTGACCTCAGGGGATCCACCTGAGGTCTCCAAAAGTGCTGGGATTACAGGTGTGAGCCACCATGCCCGGCCATTGGTTCAGTTTTATAGTTTTCAGTGTAGCAGTGTTCCACATCTTTTGCTAACTATATTTCTAAGTATGTTTTTTTTATGGTATTATAAATGGTCTTGTTTTAACAATTTACTTTTCGATGGTTCATTGCTAATATATAGAAATATAATCAATTGTGTATATTGACCTTGAATCCTATGACTTTGATAAACTTGCTTATTTGTTCTAAAGGCTTTTTAATTAATTCCTCAGGATTGTTTTTTTAAAAAAAAGACGATTACTTATTCCTTTCCAATTTAACTACCTTTTATTGATTTTTAAATTTTATTAATTGTGCTAACTAGAATCTCCAGCAACATGATAACTAAACGTGCTCAGAGTGGATACCCTAGCTTCTCCCAAATCTTAAGTCTTTCACCGAGACTAAGGCTAGGCTAGTGCTATGGCTGCCATAACGAAGTGTCAAAGACCGTGTGGCTTAAATAACAGAAACTAATTTTCTCACAATTCTGGAGGCTAGAATTCTAAGATAAAGGTGTCAGCAGAGTTGGTTTCTTCTGAGGCTGCTCTCCTTGGCTTGCAGACGGCTGCCTTCTCCCTGTGTCATCACGCAGTCTTCCCATAGAACATAGTCTGGGTTCTAATCTCCACTTCTTGCGAGGACACATTAGAATAGGACCTACCCTAGTGGCTTCATTTTAACTTGATCTTGTCTCCACATGCTAAGGTACTGGAGGATAGGACTTCAACATAGGAATCTTGAGGGGACACAATTCAGCTCAAAACAGTTATTAAATATGATGTTAGCTGTAGGTCTTTGTAGATGCCATATATCATGTTGTTAAAGTTTCATTTTATTTCTAGTTTGCTCAGAGGTTTTGTGGGTTTTTAAAATCACAAATGAGTATCGGATTTTTTTTTTTTTTTTTGAGACGGAGTTTCGCTCTTGTTGCCCAGGCTGGAGTGCCGTGAAGCGATCTCCGCTCACCGCAACCTCTGCCTCCCGGGTTCAAGCATTTCTCTGCCTCAGTCTCCCGAGTAGCTGGAATTACAGGTGTCCACCACCATGCCAGGCTAATTGTTTTTGTATTTTTTGCAGAGACAGGGTTTCACCATCTTGGCCAGGCTGGTCTTGAACTCCTGACCTTGTGATCCACCCGCCTCAGCCTCCCAAAGTGCTGGGATTACAGGTGTGAGCCACCGTGCCAGGCCTGGATTTTGTTAAATTTTTTCTGCATCTGTTGAGATGGTTATATGTATTTCCTTTCTCCCTCTGTTAATATGCTAAATTACATTGGCTTTTCAAATATTAAGCCAACCTAGTATTTCTGGGATTAATCCCATTGTTTAATATATTATCCTTTTTATAGACTACCATTTTTTATTTGAGAAGATATTATAGAGTACACTTGTAATGAATGTGAATGTTGACAGTAAGGAGAGATGCTGTAAAAAGCTTATCCATTTACTATAACATGGAGAGTAAGCATATTACTTAGAAATACGTAGGCAAATTTCAGAAATACAGTTCAAAGAGTTAAAAGAGATTGATTCTGGAAGTAGGAGTAGAGGGTCAGGTTGTTCTCGCTGCGGTTTTTGCATCAGTTTACTTCTTAAAATCATAGCTATAGGTCAGGAGCAGTGGTTCACACCTGTTATCCCAGCACTCTGGGAGGCCCAAGTGAGAAGCCTGCTTGACGACAAGAGTTGGAGATCAACCTCGGCAAAAGAGCAACAGCCCACCTCTACAAAAAAAAAAAAAAAATTAGCTAGCTTGGTGAAAATTAATAAATTAAAAAAAAATTACCAGTGTGTGCACATTACTTTGGTAGAAGTAAAAATAATGAGAGAGAGAGAAAATCCTCCCAGTGACTAGTCATTTGTTTTTATGATTCAGCTGGTTTGTGTTTTGCAAGGTACATGGTGTGCAGACATCTGAAAACGTCTGTTTTCCACTGTTTGTAACTAACTGGTAGAATTAGCCTTGATTTCCTCCCATGGCTTATGAATATACTTTAAGCATAGTTGTCTATAATGGGATGTTTCTAAACGACCTATCCTTGTCCTGGTACCACGCTGATTTGGGCTATAGTGCAAACGGGTGCACCATGGTGGGCGAGGTCATTCAAAGGAAAAGAGGAGAATGTGCAGTGGTGCCGAGGTTTGTAAGAGCAGGCGGCTTGTACATGCAAATACATGGTTTGGATGAATCTGGGAGTGGATAGGCTGATGGGTGATGAATACTCAAAGCACAACAGTAAGCAACTTTAGTTAGAGCGAAACTCTTAAAGCACGCTGCCCTTTGGCAGGAAACACGACATTCCGCAAGCTGATAGCCCTCCGCGACGCATTACGCACAACAGACAGCTGGAGACGCCGAGGTGCTCTCGCTTTGATTTCGGCGCCTGCGCCCGCGCGGGGAGAGATTGGCTGGGGCGGCGGGACTGGGCGGTGAGCGCGTCACTTCCTGCCGCTGCCAGGCGCGTCCTCCCACGCGCTATGACCGACCGTGCAGAGCCGCGGGGGCGGCGGCCCGGAGTCGGAGTAGGAGTCGTGGTGACCAGCTGCAAACATCCGCGTTGCGTCCTCCTGGGGAAGAGGAAAGGCTCGGTTGGAGCCGGCAGTTTCCAACTCCCTGGAGGTCATTTGGAGTTCGGGTGAGCAGCCGCGGACGCGAGGAAAGCGCAGCGTGCGCTGAGGGACGAGCTCACACTGTGCTTCCTTCGTGCGCCGTGCGTGACAACGTCCGCGCTGACGCTGCGTCGTTTCTCGTGCGTTCCCTCGGTTCCTCCCCTCGACTTAGGCTCTCGCCCAGGATGGGGCGCTGTGACGGGTCAGGCGAGGTCATTGCTTGGCTAGCTGGGTCCTTCCGGCTGCGCGCCCGCTAGGTGGTGGTTGGGATTTTGTCTGTGAGGTGTTTCTCACAGCTTACACACAAAAGGAGGAAAGCAGGTGTGTGTAAACCTCCAGCAGCCCGATGTTTTCAACTAAGACATTGCACCGTTTCCGTGTGATTGATTGATTGATTGGAGAGACTGTCTCGCTCTGTAGCCCAGGCCGGAGTGCAGTGGCGTTATCTCGAGTCAGTGCAACCTCCGCTTCCCAGGTTCAAGCGATTTTCCTGCCTCAGCCTCATGAGTAGCTGGGATTACAGGCGCCCGCTACCACGCCGTACTAATTTTTGTGTTTTTAGTAGAGACGGGGTTTCGCCATTTTGGCCAGGCTGGTCTCGAACTCCTGACCTCAGGTGATCCACCCGCTTCAGCCTCCCAAAGTGCTGGGATTACAGGCGTGAGCCACCGCGTCCGGCCGGTTTCCATGTGATTTAGACCAACACAGATCAATTTAATACCTACTGACCGCGTAACCAAGCCCATTTGCTTGGCTAGAGTGCAACCAAAAAATAAATAATCATGAATGAGTATTGGATTTTGTCATTTTTTTCTGCATCTGTTGAGATGATTATATGTAAAATTTTAGTTGCACGCTAACCAAGCAAATGGGCTAATGAAACGCTTTGAGCCTCAGTTTCTTCATCTTTAAAATGGGAGCGTTGGACTAAATCCCCTTGAAGCTGCCTTCTGCCTTGGCACTTCCGCAATTCATTATAACTATCAGAGGAGTTGGACAGCTAAGGAGACTCAGTTCTATACAAGAGTGAAGAGAGCCCGGATAGTTTATCACCTTGACTATACTATCATGGGTGTGCGCATATGTCCAGACTCATCAAATTGTATATATATTTAACATGTACATTTTTATGTACAAAAGTGTATACGAAACACTTTTGTAAAAAAAAATAATGTTTTTCAAGTTAAAAAAAAAAGCCTGGGATGGTGCTAAAAAGTGGATTCTGAAGTGAGAATAATGCTAATCAAGAACAGATAAACAGCATCTAAAGCATCAGAGCCAGCACTTGTTTTTCCTTCAGTATAAATTTTCAAATGTACATCAAAGTGGAGAAAATAGTGAATCCTTTTGTGCCCATCACAGAGCATTTTCTTTTTTCATCTTGACTGCCCTTCCCTCCGCCGCCCAAAACACACACACACACACCCCTGAATTGGACATTTTTAAGATCACGGAGGAAAATGCTACACACACTGGGTATCAGATGATACTTAAAGAATTATTTTGTTAGGTATGAAAATGTTTGTCGTTGTGTTTTTTTTAAAAGTCTATTCAAGGTACATACTGAACTATTTAGGGATGGTATAATAGGATGTCTGAGATTACCTGTAAAATAGTTAAAAAAAAAAAAGCCCCCAACACACACACACACACACACACACAAAACATTTAGCCATCTCAGCACTAATTTACAGCTGGAGTGCAATGGCACCATCATGGCTCACTGCAGCCTTGACTTCCCAGGCTCAAACTATCCTCTTGCCTCAGCCTCTTGAGTAGTTGGGACCACAGACCATAGGCACGCATCACCATGCCTGGCTATTATTTCTTTTTTTTTTGAGAGATGAGGTCACACTATGTTGACCTCAGCTGGTCTCAAACTCCTGAACTCAAGCTATCCTCTTGCCTCGGCCTTCCAAAAGATTATAGACATGAGCCACATGCCGGCTGATTTGTTGTTTTAAAGCAGGAACCAATTACAGTTCTTTTTGCTTTACACTAGAAACTTCTGGCCAAGAATTTCATGGCAAAATATATATACACACACACGTATATACATTTATATATATACATATATACACACATATGTATATATAAAAAATATAATTAATTTTTTTTTCTGTTTTCCAGTGAGACCTGGGAAGAATGTGCTCAAAGGGAAACCTGGGAAGAAGCAGCTCTTCACCTGAAAAATGTTCGCTTTGCCTCAGTTGTGAATTCTTTCATTGAGAAGGAGAAATACCATTATGTTACTATATTAATGAAAGGAGAAGTGGATGTGACTCATGATTCAGAACCAAAGAATGTAGAACCTGAAAAAAATGAAAGTAAGAGAATTATATATAATCCTACATTTTTCTTTGAGGAGAGCCTGTGGTCTGGAAGAATATTACAGTGTGTTGCCATATGAAGAGAATGCTATTGTCTGAATGCTTGTGTTCCCCCAGAATTCTGTGTAGAAATCCTAACTCCCATGATGATGGTTTTAGGAGGTGGGGCCCTTGGGAGGTGATTAGATCATAAGATAATGAATGGAATTCGTGCCCTTGTAAAAGAGACCCCTGACCCCTTCCATGATGTAAAGATACAGAGAGAAGATGGTTGTCTAGGAAACCTGAAAGTGGGCCCTCCCCAGACATGGAATCTGCCAGTGTCTTGATCTTGGACTTCCCAGTCTGTAGAACTGTTGAGAAATAAATTTCTGTTGCTCATAAGCCATGTAGTCTAAAATATTCTGTTATAGCAGTCTGAATAGCCTAAGATATGTGAATGTAGAGATGTAATATAGAGATACAGATAGGTAAATATATTTGGACCATGAGGAACCAGACTGCCTGTGTTTGTGTGCTGGTTCTTAGAGCTTTGTGACCTTGGGCAAATTATTTCGTGCCTGGGCCTCTTTTCTCATCTGTGATAATAGTAAGTACCTTGGATGGGTTCTTGTAAGGATTTACATATGAAGAACCTCGTGAACACAGTAAGTTTTATTGTTAGTGTTTAATTTTGTTTCAGGCAGTAATTTTAAGGAAAATATTTTATCTGTTTTCCTCAGTTTTCTCACCTGTGCAGGAGAGTTAATACCATCCATTTACTGTAAATAATTACACTGATAAAACAGTTATTGTTTCAGAGCAGTTGGGTTCTCCTTGCCTGCTGCCCAGAAAAAGCCAGTACCCTGAGACAGTAGGAGTTGTAGCAGAGAAAGAGTTTAATAATCACAGGGCAGCTGCCTGAGGAGGACAGGAGATACTTCTTAAATCCTACCCATAGAGAATTAAGAGGCTAGGGTTTTTCAAGGATGGTTTGGCAAGCAAGGGGCTAGGGAATGAGAAATGCTGATTTGTTGGGTTGGGGATAAAACCATAGGGATGTCAGCTGCTTCTTGTGCTAAGTCAGTTCCTCGATGGGGGCTTCACAGGACCACTTGAGTCAGGGTTTCTTTGTGTGGCTTACCGATTTGGGTGGTACCAGTTGGTCCATTAGAATGCAAAGCCTGAAAAAGATCTCAAACACTAGTCTTAGGTTTTACAATAGCATTGCCATCTGTAGGGGTAATTGGGAGTTATAAATCTTTTGATCACTGGCTACATGCTTCCTGAGCAGTAAGGCAAGTTATAAAATGATGCCTGGTTAGAGTTTAACTATGCCTACATCTTAATAGAATTCTGGCCCTTACCATAATTCTAACCTTGTGACCTTTTATTAGTTTTACAAAAGCAGCTTTGGTCCCACAACAAGGAGGGGGTTAGTTTTGGGAAGGGACTATTATCATCCTTACTTTAAAGTTAAACTGTAAACTAAATTCCTCCCATAGTTAGGTTGGCCTGTGTGTAGAAATGAGCAGACAATTTGTGAGGTTAGAAGCAAGTTGGAGTCAGCTTTGTTAGATTTCTGTCACTGTTATAATTTTGCAAAGGTGGTTTCATTATCTGTTACCCTCTATGTTGAATTGAGTGCACTGAAAGTTTGTTTACTATGTGCTAAGCATTGTTCTAAGGATTTTCTGTCTACTGTCTCTCCTCAACTTCTCATAAAACAGAGAAAAAGAACTAAAGAGAAAAATATCAAACTTTTTCAGTATATTCCTTGCCATATGAAACTTTATCCATGTGGTCTCATGTATTGAAGCACCCCTCTAAACATTTAATTTCTTCTCTAATAGGGAAGAATCTTTTCATTCAACAGATACTGATACTTATTGAGTGGTGTGCCAGACACTGTTCTAGGCACTGAAGAAACAATGTTGCGTAGAACAAAGTCCCTGCCCTCTTGGTACTTTACATTTTAGTGAGCGGGGAAAACGACAGATTACAGATACTTTATTATAGTAGCAATAAGGACTAAAAAGAGCAATAAAGCTGTGTAAGAAAGGGATATATGGGGCCGGGCGCGGTGGCTCAAGCCTGTAATCCCAGCACTTTGGGAGGCCGAGACAGGCGGATCACGAGGTCAGGAGATCGAGACCATCCTGGCGAACACGGTGAAACCCCGTCTCTACTAAAAATACAAAAAATTAGCCGGGCGAGGTGGCGGGCGCCTGTAGTCCCAGCTACTCGGGAGGCTGAGGCAGGAGAATGGCGTAAACCCGGGAGGCGGAGCTTGCAGTGAGCTGAGATCCGGCCACTGCACTCCAGCCTGGGAGACAGAGCGAGACTCCGTCTCAAAAAAAAAAAAAAAAAAAAAAAGGGATATATGAATGCTATATCAAATTTGGTGGGGGAAGGGTCTCTGACAAAGGGACGTATCTCCACCTGGGCAACATAGTGATGAGACCCTGTCTCTACAAAACTAAAAGTGTATGGTGGTGGCACACACTATAATTGCAGCTACTCGGAGGCTGAGACGGAAGGATCATGTGAGCCTGGGAGGTCAAGGCTGCAGTGAGCTCTGTCCTCCACCACCCCACTTTCTCTCCAGCCCTGAGCAGCAACAGAGTGAGACCCTGTCTCAAAAGAAGAAAGAAATGGACTGAACTTGTTTTCTTATTTTTGCTTTTTCTATGGAGCAAATAGCCTGAGACTAGAAGGAACAAATATGATGAAATAGTTAAGGTTTTTTTATGTATTCAGTATCTTTACACAGTGGGCAGATACAGAAAACCTTCATTTTAGAGAAGGTGCTATAGAGAGAAAACACCAAGGTCACTGACTGTCCCACCAGCTTTATTTGACCATTCTTACTCACCAAGCCACCTCTGGAGTGCTTTCATTCTACAGTCCTCTTTTTTTGCCCTGTCTGGTCTCTGTAGGGATTTGGAGTTGGGAATCTTGATGCAAGTTATAATTTTGAATCCTTCTGAGCTGTGGGCCTGTGTTTCCAGTTGCTTTCTAAATATATGTCCCGCTGTATTCAGAAGGCATCTCAAACTCAGCTCTTCAAAATATATGCTTTTAACTGAACTTTGAATCTATAAAGAACAATTCTTTTTTTTTTTTTTTGAGGCGGAGTCTTGCTCTCACCCGGCTAGTACAATGGCGGATCTCAGCTCACTGCTCCTGCCTCAGCCTCTGCAGTGCTTCTTGAGCTCCGCCACTGCCAGCCAATTTAATGATCTTTTGGTAAGAGACGGGTTTCACCGTGTGCCAGAATCAATCTCGTCTCCTGATCCTGATGCGTCTCGCTCTAGTGCTGGACCCAGGCTTGTCTCCTAAGGCTCAGTTCTTTTTGGTAATTGCAGCTACTCGGGAGGCTGAGACGGAAGGATCATGTGAGCCTGGGAGGTCAAGGCTGCAGTGAGCTCTGATATCACCACTGCTCTCCAGCCTGAGCAGCAACAGAGTGAGACCCTGTCTCAAAAAGAAGAAAAGAAGAAATGGACTAGACATTTTCTTATTTTTCTTTTTTCTATGGGCAAATAAAGCTGAGACTAGAAGAGACAAATATGATGAAATAGTTAAGGTTTTTTTTTATATATATTCAGTATCCTTCACAGTGGGCAGATACAGAAAACCTTCATTTTTAGAGAAGGTGCTATAGAGAAAACACCAAGGTCACTGACTGTCCCACCAGCTTTATTTGACCATTCTTACTCACCAAGCCACCTCTGGGTACTTCCTCATTCTTCAGTCCTCTTTTTGCCCTGTCTGGTCTCTGTAGGGATTTGAGTTGGGGAATCTTGATGCAAGTTATAATTTTGAATCTCGCTTCTCTGAGCTGTGGGCCTGTGTTTCCAGTTGCTTTCTAAATATCTTCCCTTAATGTTCAGAAGGCATCTCAAATTCAACTCAACTTCAAATTATGCTTTTTTTTTTTTTTAACTGAACTTTGAATCTATAAAGAACAGTTCTTTTTTTTTTTTTTTTTTTTGAGACGGAGTCTTGCTCTGTCACCCAGGCTGAAGTGCAGTGGCCGGATCTCAGCTCACTGCAAGCTCCTCCTCTCGGGTTCACGCCATTCTCCTGCCTCAGCCTCCCGAGTAGCTGGGACTACAGGCACCCGCCACTTCGCCCGGCTAGTTTTTTTTTGTATTTCTTTTAGTAGAGACGGGGTTTCACCGTGTTAGCCAGGATGGTCTCGATCTCCTGACCTCATGATCCGCCCGTCTCGGCCTCCCAAAGTGCTGGGATTACAGGCTTGAGCCACCGCGCCCGGCCAAAGAACAGTTCTTTTGGCTTATACATTTTGGACTCTTCCCTACCAAACAGAGTGTCTGGCTCATAATCAGTATTCAAAATATGTTGAAGGAAGAAAGGACCCAGTGAATGAATATACAAGCCAACCTCTTTCTGTGAAGCTTTCATTTAGTACTAGCCTGTCCTACTTTTGAATAACTTCTATAAGATTACTATTCTACTTTAAGTACTAAATCATGAGTTTTTATAACCATGTAACTATATGTATTGTTTTATTCCTCTTAGGATATAGTAGCTAGGAGTAGTTTTACGTGCATTGTGATTTTTAAAATTCATTTATGTAACTTTTTTATTTGTCCACTTTCATTTTGTTAACTCTCTGACATGAACCTTGCTAGTAATCTCAAATAAAGCAGTACGATTTAGAAGGTCCAAGATTACTAGCATCAAATCAGATTTGATCAAAAACATTTATTCCTCTATATCTGTTAGTAAAAATACAGCAGAAATTATGTTCACTTTATTCCCAGTTGCAGCCTGATAACCAGCTATACTGATAACCAGTTGCAGCCTGATAACCAGCTATACTGATAACCAGTTGCAGCCTGATAACCAGCTATACTGATAACCAGTTGCAGCCTAAGCTCCTCCTCTCGGGTTCACGCCATTCTCCTGCCTCCCAGCCTCCCGAGTAGCTGGGACACGAGCACCCGCCACTGGCCCGGCTAATTTTTGTATTTCTTTTAGTAGAGCGG